TATAATTTTCAATTAATATTTTAATAATTAATCAATAATATAAACGATAAAAATTTAGAAAATTAACGAAAAAAATAAATGCATAATAAGGAAAATGAAACGTAATTTTCTAATTTTTTTTTTTAAATTTCAAAATATTACTTTTTTATTTTGCATAAAACTTGATATATGCCGATCTTTCCGTTTCATATCATCATGCTCTCTTAACATACTCAATTTCCCTGCATAAATATTATTTATCCAAATAATTACTCATATAATTTTATATCAGATAATTAATTGTAGTAAAATTATTTGATCATTTACTGACACAACTTATTAGTGTCGTTAAAATTTGATGAAATTCAATATTTGAAATAAAAATTAAAAACTTTATGAAAGAAATGTTAAATTTATTCATAATCAATGAAATATTTCAGGTAAAATTTTCAACACTGAAGTTTTTTGTTTGTTTTTTTTTCTCCTATCAACATTGATTTGATAAATGAAATTAGGTAAAACTATGATACCTGCAGTTTTGAAACGTTCAGCAAATTGAGCGATACTTTCACCTTTAACTAAATTTTGTTGCGAATACTTTGTGAACATTTTTGATACTTCCGAGTTTAGTTCTTTTAGATTGACTAGTAAAAGAATTAACGATAACAATATTGTCAACATGACAAATAATATATGCAGTAATTAGATTAATTAATATCAAATAATTAGTATGAATACAAAGAAATCATTACAATTTTACCTGTTACAAGCGGTAAAAGTAATTATTTTATTAATTAGTAATAAGATGGCGTGTATTTTTTTAAAAAAAAAAGTTTTCTTAGAATTTTTAAAGTTAAGTTTTTGTAAATTTTTTTTCAAAGTAAAATTTTCTCAAAAGCGAATTTTTTGAAATTTGTTGCAAAATTGTTTGTTTATTGTATAAATAATTGTAATAATATGATGAAAATTTCAAATACCAAAAATGATGACTAATTAAGCATCGAACATTAATGAATGCCATAAATCGTTACAGTATAATAGGAAATCTTTTAATATTAAAATGAAAGGTTTTATGGAAATTAAAAACAAAACAAAATTGGATTTAAATTTGATTTCTTATTTATTTTTTTAAACAACAAGTAGAAATTTTTCAACGTATTGCTCATTTCAATTAAATATAAATTTACAACCGTCTATTTCTTGATAATAAGTATGAATGAAAGAAATTCAAATTTCATCATTCATTTTAAAGCTTATTTTCATCGGTGATATTTAATCAAATTTTATTCTAAATTAAAATTAAATGAAAATTTTTTTTTAACATTTATTCTTTCTCTATAGATAGCAATAATTGCATAATGTGACTAAAATTGGTATTATGATCTTACTGATATTCATGATCTAATTATTATAATGGTATCAGTAAAATTTTGACAATTCTTACTGATATCGTGATATCAAATATTATCATGATATCACTAAAATTTTGATAACACTTTTTTTCTTCAATGAAAACGTTTCCTTTTCATTTCTTTAATCCTTTTCCATTCCAAAGTTTTAATGTTTTTTCTCCCTATCATCCATTTGATGTTTAAATTATGCTAACACATATAATTAAATAAAAAGTTATCATATTCCTAGGTGTATTTCTAATTATTTAATTGTTTAGTTAATTCCTATCACAACATCATATCCTTATCATTTATCACTCTTTCCATTTTTACTTTATTTACTCATTAAATATAATTTCTTCCATTTATTGTTAAACATAGAATTATCATATTCCCAGTTATATTTTTAATTACTTAATTATTTATTTATTCCTTATCACAGCACCATATGCTTATCATTTATCACTCCTTTTTCCCTTTTTACCTATTTGCCTATTAAATATATCATTTCTTCAACCTACTATTGAATGTAAAATTGCCATATAATTATCATGTCATATATGTAAAATTATCATATAGTTTTATTTCTAATTACCTAATTATTTAATTATTTCTTAATATAACACTACATGTTTATCATTTTATCATTCTTTCTCTTCCTTTTTTTTACCTCTTTGCTTATCACATGCCATTCTTTCACCTTATTGTTTACAAAATTAATGCAAAACAAGTTTCTTTTTTTTTGTCATATAGAAATGACACATGAAAAATAATAGTTGATTTAATGTTGCAATTATCATAAATTATACAAAATCCCTATCCATTAGTATCATTTATCTTTATTGTCTTAATCATTATTGATCTTTATTGATCTTTAGTATTTGATCTCTATTGATCTTTAGTGTTTGGTCTATTGATCTATTTGATCAATAGAAAATAAGCAAAACCCAAACCAAATTTTCACTCAAATAACGTTTAGAAACTAATAATTTATTAATCTCTATTGATTTTAGATTTTATTGATCGACGACGATATTATACAGTATCATGATTATTCCTTATTATTTTAACCTTTATTGTTTTCTATTGATCTTTAATGTTTCATCTACACTTATCGATAGCATGATTCATAGTATGATCATAATTATGCAATCATAAATCGAACAACATACAGAGTGAACTAATAGTTTTTGTAAATGTCCATTCTTCGTGTCACTATTGTCCACTTTTTCATCAATTACTGCTATTGCTTATGATTAATAATTGCTTTTGTGCCATTTGAACTTGAACTATGAACTGAGACTAATTGAATTCTCTGATCAAATTTTAGCTCTCATAAATTTTAAATGATTTTCAATTTTTTTCTTGACCAATGAACATTTTTGCTTCTTATTTGTAGCAAAAACTAGCAACGGTAAAAATAAAAAGTAATAAATTCTATCAATTTAAAAGTAAACTCTAATATCAAAACTTTCAAACGTATTAGTTTATCAAATATTGATAAGAATATTGATAAGAACAGATAGGTTAATTAGTAATCCTTCAATGATTCCTCCTATTTTAACGGTAAATTTCATTTTCAAGTCAACTTCTTGTGATCCTTTATTAGCTTGCCAGACAAATTGTCATTATATGACCTTTCGGTCTTCCGATTCTGTAAATTGTACTTTAATTCTTACTTAAGCTCTAAGCTTATCATTTCCCTGATTGCTTAATGCTATCTTGGTTGTTGTGAATCGGAACAATATTTGCTGTATGATATCTTAGTCCTTTCAATAACTAGTTGACAATTTCGAAATTATCATCTGCTATTTGACCTTTTGACATTCCTAAAATATATCGTTTCGATTTTACCGATAATTTCCAATCGAAAAAACTCAAGGAAATTTTAACAAAATCTTTGTTCAATCGTACATCACTTTTTAACGGCACCATTAGTCCGTCCTTGGTGCTATATTTTCGTTTGAATTTCATTTGTATTTGTTCTCACTTCTTCTGGTCATTTGTCCATTTACTGACCATTCATTGTCCATGCATAAATTTCTTCTAATTTCTAATGATCTCTGATTTTCATTGGTTCCCTGTTAAATAATTGAATGTCACCGATGCTAAAAGTGGTGACTATTTTATTCCAAAACGAATTCTTCTTCGTTTGCAATTGGTCTTGAATTGTTTTATTATCTTTGAAAAAAAAGTATCTTCGAAACTATTCTTCACTATTTGTCCTTTCTAACATTTCTACATACAACTAATTACATTTCTTTTTTTTTTTTTTGACTTTGCTAACAATTTTCGACTTATTTTTGGTATTTTAATTCCAGTTTTTTAAGAGTATTTTAAAGTGCAACAAATTTTAAATGTCCTTTATAAGTTAATTTAAAATTTGCAATGATTTTTACATTGCAAATTATTATTGTTAATTTGTTGCGCAAACAAAAAGAAAATTATAAAATTTGAAAAGAAAAATAAAATATATTATTAAAAATATGAAAGTTATTAATTTTGCTAAAAGTGTTAAATATTAATTAATAAAAAAGATTATGAAAAAATTCATAAATGCTATTTCATTCTTTTTAACTGAAAGCAATAAGTAAATTAATTAATTAAAATACTCAAACTTTCATTGAAAATTTCCAATCTTTCGGCTAATTACTGTGGCATTAATTAATTAATTTATAACACCAATAAATTCTCCCACTGTACAAAAAAGAAAAAAGAAAAAATTGAAAATTCCAAAAATTTTTGAAAAAACTCATCTTTCGAGCAATTATTATTGCATCAATTAATTAATTTATAATATCAAGTTAATATTGTAGAAGAAAATGTTGATATTAGTATTTGCTAAATTAGGTGATAATAAATGCATCAATTAATTAGCAAGAGTAAATTAATATTAGTAAAGTTAATATTAGTAAATATTAGTAAAAAAATGACTAAATACTGATAAATCCATTAATTAACTACTAATATTGGAATTAGTGTTTCGTTAATTAAACGAATCAATATTTGTAAAATAAATAATGAGAAAATTATTAGTTAATTAAAATATTAAATCATTGTCGTTAAATTAAAAAGTAATAATAAATCCATAAATTTAATTGATATTTTAAACATTTTCCATTCTTCCCATATCATAACATACTTTTTATTTGAGTATTCCATTTTTAATCCAACAGTAACAATTGAAATATTTCGTTTTTGATTTCATTTTAAAATTTGATTTTTAATTTTTTCATTTCAATCATTGATCACAAAGAAAAACGACGTTCTTCTTATTTGCTAAATTACACATCAAATGACAAAAAAATGTCAAATGACAAGTAGTGATAAAAAAAAAAAATTTTCCGTTCCCTAATTTTTTTTTAATTTTATTTTCTTCGTTTCTTCCTGATTACTCCCACTGTATACAATAATAATACATCCTTAAATATCTTTTCTTTTTTTGCTGACATTTTTCATTCCACTTTTTCTTTTCCTTTGTATCGTAAAATAGTTTGACCCTTTTGACCTGACGAATAATTAATTTATTCAATCAATGCTATGACCTAATTTTGTATTTGTGCGTTTTAAAATGACCTAAAATATAATAATAAAGGATGAAAAAAAAAAACAAAGTAGTATAAAGTGAAAAAATGGTATGAAACAATTAATTTAAGGATAGATGATAGATCAGATGAAAGGAAGAGGACACAAAAAAAGAAGATGGGGAAAAAAAAAGGCGGAACTGGTAGAGATAAGAAAAAAAGATGGATGGAATGAAAGGAGGAGGGGGGGGGGGGTGGACAAAAGTATGATGTGACAGATTGTGCCTATCATTCATTATTATCACATACATAAAATCATTGAGTAACTTCAGTTGTTTCTCTTCTATTTTATTTTTTATTTTTTTTTTTTGACATTAAATCAAGTTTTTGGCGTAATATTTCCCAAAAATTGAAAATAAAAATATCGGAAAAAAAAAGTAATCGTTTACGTTTTCCACTTTTATGATTTTAAGTGAAATAAAAATTTATTAAAATGAAATATTGGCTAATTTAATAATTCATAAATGTAAATTAAATGTTAGTTGAAATGTATTAATTCGTTTAAATTATGTTAATTTGATTAAATCGTATTAATTTGTTTAAAACGTGCTAATTCGTTTAAATCGTTTTAATTAGATTAAAACGTCGTTAATTCATTTAAAATATTCTAATTTGGTTAAAAAATATTAGTTTTAGTTTTTTAAGATAAAATTTTTTAAAATTGAAAATAGTTTTTAGCAAAATTTAACTCCTCTATAATATGAATAAAAACAATAACTTTTATTTTAGTTAGAAAAATTTGAGGAAATTTTTGCCAGTTATTATTGTAAATGATAGTTTAAAATTTATAATTTTAATTTTAAGAATATTAAAACTAATAGTTTTAATTTTAGGAATATTCCTGAAATTATCCCTACTGTAATCATTCATTTTTGTCGCAGTTGTCAAATCCAATTATTAATATCATTATAATTAAAAAAAAAAAAAGAAAAAAATGAGGAAAAAACGAACGGAATAATAAATATAAACTATCGTCCAATTATGTTTGTCAATTTTTTTTTTTGTTTTTAATATTTTATTTTAAAGAGCTTAATTGTGTAAAAATTAATTTACAATTTTAAAATCATTGTTTGAAAATTAATTCACAATTTTAAAATTGTTGTGTAAAAGTTAATTTGCAACTTTAAAATCATTGTATAATAATTAATTTATAATTTTAAGATTATCGTGTAAAAATTAATTCACAATCTTGAAATTATTGTTTGAAAATTAATTTACAATTTCAAAATCATTGTGTAAAAATTAATTTACAATTTTAAAATTATTATTTAAAAATCAGTTTGCAATTTTAAAATTATTGTTTGAAAATTAGTTTTCAATTTTAAAATTGCTATTTGAAAATTAATTTGCAATTTTAAAATTATTGTTTAAAAATTAATTGCGTAATTTGAAAGCAAAAAAAAAAAAATCTTTTACAATTAAAAATTTTTCCTTTCTTTCCTATTTTCTTTTCAGTGTTGAAACGATACAATTGAAAATGTTACAAGTATTACTTCTCATTGCTGCACTTATCTTCCTCTATTATGGGATACGAAATTTTTTGGAAACAATTCAAATAGCTAATCTTAATGCTAAAGCAGTTTTCATTACTGGTTGTGATTCAGGCTTTGGCTATTTATTGGCTATTAAATGTGCAGAAAATGGCCTACCAACATTTGCTGGATGTTTAACTGAACATGTAAATTTTTTTTTCTTTTTTACCAATTTTCAATCTTCCTATCTTTTCATCTTTGTTTTCTTTTTTTTTTTATTTCTTTAACTTTTTATTGAAAATAAAATTTAGAAACAAATAATTGTAATAAATGCTGTATATATTGAAATAGCAATCGGCTAATCAATAGTTTTATAAATTTCGTAATTAATTAAGAGATGAAAATGAAATTATAATTTTGAAATGATAAGGCTATGGCAGAATAGGATTATCAATGTAATCCATATGGTTTATTAGAATTAATATTTAAAAAAAGAAAAGAAGTGATAATAGCAGTAAAAATTAAATGAAAGATAATTTGCATATTAGCTAAATTCAATTTTTTTTTTTTTTCAAAAGATATCCGAATATTTTTACTCATTTAGGGAATGCAAGCAATTGAACAAATAGCGAAGAATACCATTGGAAAGTTAATTCCGGTACAAATTGATGTGACAAATGAAGAATCGGTTCAAAATGCTGTCCGTTCTGTGGAAGAGAATTTAAATCCTAAATTAAGTACGTTATTAAATAATTTTTAATTAATTATATTTCGGTTAATCAATGATATTCTACCATAAGATTTTTACAAATGTATTAATTTATAAATTAAAAAAGTATGATGGCTTATCCTGGAAATATTGTTTGAAATATAAAAAAAAAAATCCAAATTTTTCCTTCCTACAAATAATTTTTTTTTTAAATTAATTCTTTTTCTTCAAAAAAATAAGTTAAAGAAAAAAATTGTGGTAAATAGTTTTGGTTTATTTCACTTACAAATAATATAATTGAATGATTAATATCAAATTAATGATTGCTATTGAATCGTTTTATTTGAATTTTATTTTTTATTAACTTTATTTTTATTTAATTTTTTTCTTCTGTTATGGTAACAAAATGATAGATTATACAGTTTGTTGGGTAAAAATTATTGTCAAATTTCTAAAATTAATTAATTAATCCATTCACTCATTGAATAATATTAATGTGATGGAAAAGAATTTTTTTTAAGTGCTATATGCAATAGCATTGCCAAAATTTTTGTTAATTAATTAATCAATGAATTAATTAATTTGATGATGTTTGTTTAATTATTACAGCTACTTCATACTTTTTTCATGAAATATTTTTATCTAAAATCATCTTTGTGTTTGTATTTGTATTTCAGAATTATGGGCATTAGTGAATAATGCTGGATCATTCGGAATTTATGGATATGATGATTGGTGTACGGTAGAGGAATATGCAAAAGATTTGAATGTGAATACTCTTGGTGTTATACGTGTTACACATGTTAGTTGTTAATTAATATGTTTAAAATAAACAAAAAAAAACTTTTATAATTTGTTGCTTTTTCTCATCCTCTAATTAATTTCAATTTTATAAATTTTGCTTTGACTTTTAAATTTCCAATTTAATAGCAAAAAAAAAACGATTATTTCCTTTCAATATATTTTGCAATTTAATGAATTAATATTTAATTGGTTTAGAGAGAAAAACAAATAAACAAATAAGTAAACAAATAAACAAGCAAATAAACAGATAAGTAAATAAATAAATAAATAAATAAACATTGTGATATTTTAGACATTTATGTCTTTGTTAAAAGAAAGGAAAAACAAAAAAAGGAAAACATTTAGAAAAGAAAAACAAACAAACAGATAAGTAAACAAATAAATAAATAAATAAATAAGCAAATAAGTAAATAAATGAATGAATAAATAAATAAGCAATTATAATATTTTAGGCATTTATGCCTTTATTAAAAGAATCTCGTGGTCGAGTAATAGCAATAACCAGTGTTTGTGGTCGTTTAGCATTAGCGGGAATTGGCCCATATACTGTCTCAAAATTTGCCACCGAAGCTTATCTCAATGTTTTACGGTAATATTTTTAAATTATCATCAAAAAGTTTCCAAAAAAAAAAAGAATTATCCACTTTTTTTTCTGCAAAGACTTGCATAACTAATTATTAAGCTAATTAATGAATTAGGATAATTGGTGCTATGATTTTTGCTTGCTAGAGATTTTAAATTTAAAATATCAGCTTTTTTTTCGATTTCCAATATGATACATTGGGATAATTTTAGGTCATGCAAAATTTATTGATTTATTAAATATTGTTAAGTTGAAAAGTTTTTTTTTGCTTTAATTATTCTAACATTTATTCGTTTTCTTTTACTTTTTTTAAAAAAAGATTTAAAGAAAAAACAAAAACTATCGAACAAAGATTAATTGAATACAAAATTAAAAATCAAAAACTGAAATTAAAAATAATTTATGAAGGAAATGAAAATGAAGAAAAAAAAGGAAAATTTTGAAAATAATATTTCAGTCAAGAATTACGCGAATTTGGCATACATTGTGCAGTTTTGGAACCTGGACGCTTTCGAACAGGTCTTATGGATAAGAAAGCAATGATTGATCGTATCAATTATTCATGGAATCGACTGGACAATGCTCGAAAAGCGGAATATGGTGGTGAAGCATTCAAGGAATTATGTAAGCTTCTTTTTTTTTTTCTTTTAATATAAGTTATTAAATCTAGTACTGAAAATTTGAATTGGAAATTACTAGAAATTTGAATTGATCTTAATTTTCAATCATGCAAAAAAAACATTGAAAATTTGCATAAAAAATTTATTTGAATATCTCATGCGAAATATTTGATTTATTTGAATATCATGCGCAATATTTTAATGATAACATATCTTTGATCAATTAGCTTCGAAATTTTCAAACCTATATGTCAATTAAAAATAACATAATAATAAAAGTTGGTTATTACATAAGGGTGATAAAAGCTGACACAACTTCCCATGCCGGGAATCGAACCCGGGCCGCGTGGGTGAAAGCCACGAATCCTAGCCACTAGACCACATGGGATGTACAGGATGTTGCTAAAAGATGAAATCCGAAAAAATTCAAAAAATTAAAAATCTAAACCTCTGATTTGATTAATTTACTATGGAATATTTTAAATTTAATCAGAAATTTCAGTCTTTTCATTTTTTCTTCCGCCACAATTTGTTTAATTTCTTAAACAAACTTTTTTGACAAATCGAAATTTTAGGAAATAAAATTAAGTAAAGAATGAATATTTTTAATATAATAATATTATTACAATATATATGCTTAATTTGTTATATAATATATTTTAAAAAATATTATTATATATATTTAATTATTATGTTTTCATTTCTCTTGGATAATCTTTTAGAAATTTGGATAATTTTGCGATAATTAATTTATATTACTTATATTAACTGGCAATACCTTTCAATAGATGTGAACAAAATTAATAACTTGAATTCTATTTTTTTTTTTTCAATACCATACTCAACCAATCAACTGTTGTATTAAAATTTATGTATGTAAATAATAAGTAAATGATAAATTTTTAAATTGTATGCATAAAATTATCATTAATTAGATTTTTTTTAAGAAAATGAAATAAACTTGAAAAAAATAATTTTGCATTTTAAATTTTATATTAATTAAATCATTACAGATTGTGATCGTTCATGTGAATTTTTCTGCGATGGTGCATCAACATCATTGAATTTGGTTGTTGATTCGTATTTTCATGCTATCACAAGTCATTTTCCACGATATCGTTATTATATTGGAATGGATTCGATATATCTAATAATGATATTCATTCCAATTCAAATACGTGATTTTCTAGTGTGTGATTTTTATCGTAATGTAATTGGATGGCCACCAAAAGTATTCACATCAACATTTAATCTTATCAATAATTACTCTATGTTAAAAGATACAATTATTGATTGGTGTGGGAAAAAATTTCAAAGAAATTAAATAATTTCAAAACATACCTAAAATTTTTCATTTTGACAATTCCTACTTTTTAATTTTCACCAATAATTTTCTACAATAATGATACTATTTAGTTATCAATAATCAGCTATCTTATCGTAGTGATAATCTTTATAAGGTTAACTATGAATAAAATAGACGATAAAGCGTATCCAAGTATATATGAGTCAACGTAAAGTATTTGCATAAAAAGGTTGATGAAAATATTAAGCATTTTTAGAAAGCATGCTAAAACATATCATTAAATGTTTGTGATAAATTGAAGACGAAGAATGAAGCAAGAAAGATGGTAGATTGATTAAATATAAAATGTTCAAAGAGATGATAAAAACTGACGTGCAATTACTGTAGAAGTATACGATATGTACAGTACAGAAGCATACGATATGTGTAGTACATGCAATACAGCACGTAGTGTATGATAATGCAATATATAATTTCATAATAACAAAAAATCACAAAACGATGTTGGTCAGATTCTGATATTATTCCAACTTTTACATTCATAAAATGATTAATGATATTGACGGAAATAATAATTTGTGATTTCACCAGCAATAATATGATAAACAGGGGTACACTGTAGGCATACCGTAACATTTGTGCAAAAAATGATGCCCAATTTTAGCATAGTTAAAAAAAAAATCTAATTAATTAGATGTGTACTTGAATAGTAACCTAAGATTAATCATTTGATAAGGATGAATGATAAAGAATCGCATGAATAGCGATATTTTACAGCATACGTAGATGAAAGATGAAATTGTCACTGATAACTATGACATAATAATTTAATTAGTAGCAGTGTTCATTTTTAGTTATTACATAAAATGAATACGTAAAAAATAATATAATTATTAATTTATAATTTTGTTATTGTCAATTTTAAATTTTAAATTGTAAATTTCATTTGTAAAATTTAATTTATAACAAACTTCACAATATTACGATGAAAAAATAAGCTTAAAAACTTATACAATACTAAAAATCAATTTTAATTTTGTTCATTTAATTTCAAATTTATAAAAATTTATGTCATGTTTTCTTTTTTCTCTTTTCTTTTGCTGTGATGAAAAGATGGACAAATGTGACAGTTCAATCAATTACTCAATTATAGTGACATATTCGTATTTTCCTCTTCACTATTTCTTTGATGAAATTAATTCAGTGTATATTTCGTCAATTTAGGTCAATTTCAACGATCAGTGTTTTGTATTCAAAAAAATAAAAATATAAAAAAA